GCTCTTGGCCACGCCCACTTCTCCACTCTGCACAGTGAACAGCTGATCAGCTGCAGCAAGAAGCTTATCCTGCAGTGTGGGCTGCACAAAGGTGCAGCAGGTGTTAAAACATTTTTAAATAATTTATTTTAAATAAAACTTGGTGCCGATCGTGCGGCTCGTCCATCAATCTGCCAGTTGTGCGTCATGTCCAATCTTATTCTGAAAAATCTATTCTGTGATTAACGAACCAGGAAGTAGCGAGGGACAACTGTAAACCGTGTTTATACCGTGTAGAATCAAATTTAAGAAATGTTTGCTTCCAGCCACACCGGGGTTAAATGATCTGCACTTCTTTAACGTGTAAAACTTTTTTAGTTTTGTTTTATGGTTCATAAGAAGCTGCCGTCCAACTTCGTGTCAAAATAAATAATTTCCTTATTTATCTGTTTATTTGAGCGATTTGTTTTCTAAACTCTGTTTTTGTTTTTCAAACAGACGTGGAAAACACAAACAAGATCCTGAACTGCAGCGAAGCGGTCGGCTCTTTTTAAGAGTTTATTTTGTTTGTGCTGCACATCGTCTACGTTTTTATTGACTTCCTGCCGCATTGATCCGTCTCTGAACGGTGAAGGCGACCGCTCACCTCGGCGGGGGCGTCGGTCTGAGAGCCGGCGTCGGAGAAGAGCCGAGGGATGGACGCCGCCGAGTCGCTGAGGGACAGACTGCTGCCCCACAGCTCCTGCTGAGAACCAGAGTCCAGCTGGAACCCGTCCTTCAACACCGCCAGTTTCTGAGAGGAGACCGGACAAATCATCATCATCATCATCATCATCATCATCATCATCATCACCACAATCACCAACAACAACTGTAAGACTGAAGAAAGAAAGAAAGAAAGACACCAGGATCAGGAAACATGAGGAGGAAACATAAATCAAACCTGCTAAAACATTTGAGACTTTGAACCAAAATACTTCAGTTCTTCAGGGTTTTCTGAAGGTCTTCTTTGTTTTTCTTAGAGCCCAACCGATGGAACGGTGCGGCTCATGTTTTAGGCCGATAGAGGTGTTTGGGGACCTAACGTATCGGTGACAATCGTCCATTTTTGCGCCGATATAAACGCGTCTAATTTTCACCCCTGAAATGCTGGAACAAGCGTAATTGTACAATGTTTCCAGCAGAGGGCGCATGAAGGCTACTTTCAAGTCATGAACGTTCACTTAAGTTTCACTTTCAGCGCAGACGAAGCAAGGAGCAGTACTGTGAAGCATATTTTGCTGAACAGATCATTGCGAGTTTATTTTAACAGATCAGTAAAATAAATCAACAATAAATTCTCTTCAATCCTCCAACCTGCTTGTCATTAGCTACGTGCCTCTCAAGTTAACAAGCTAACATTTAGATAAGCTAGCATTGTCTTGTTAAACTATCCAGAACTTCTGGTCCTTCTCCACAGGCTCGACTCAGCACGACTTCAGAGTCCTTCTACAGAGTGATCCCACACACTTCCAGCTTGGTTCTGTTTCTGGCGGACGCTGTTCAGATAGTTTTTTATTAAACTGTTGTCTAAATGTCTATATTTAACTCTAATCTAAATTTAAACGGATCTAAATTTGTCTTGGTTTGTTCTTGCCGTTGTCGGGTCCAAAGACTCAACAGAACTCATCAGACGCCCATCGTACGAACGAAAGCCCAGAACCTCCAGACTAGAGGCGGACAGACCATCTGACAACTGGTTTTCATCAGCAGGCATCAGAAACCCGTCATGTCTGTGCACGTCTAATCAACGATTAAGTAGGAAAATGTAGATGCAGCAGCAGCAGCTGCTACAGCCACTCACCAAAACACGCACGTGAGTTTTTCATGGGAGAACATGCTTCAAAAGATTATTTAGTGAAGACGTTCTACAAGATGTGACACGTGTTTAGTTTGAACCGGAGCGCGTTGACAGAGCGGAGAAAATGATGAAGAGTGAAAGATCATCAAAACATTTCTTCTGACACGACTAATGCATGATGGGAGTTGTAGTTCTGTTGCAGCAGAACCTTTGAAATCCTCAAACAGACTGAATGAAAACCAGCAGTGTAAAAAAAAAAAAAGATGGAAGACGCATCAAATGAACAAACGTACATTTAAGACGCATCTATAAACAAACAGACCTAAAATGAACAATCTGGACAAAATTAAAACATTTCAAGGCTCAAGACTGAGATTATTAAACGCAGGATTTTTAAACGCACCACGGGGTTTGCTCTGAAAAACAACGGCTGACTCGGCGTCGGACCGTCGAGTCTCGGGTCGTACCTGCATGAGCTCCTGCTTCTCCTTCTCCCTGGAGCTGATGGTGTCTCTGATGGAGTGCACCTCCTTCAGAATGGCCTGCGCCTCCTGCTGCTTGTAGCCGTACGGACTGTTGGACACCTTCAGGTTGATCCTGCAGGACCGGGGGAGGAGGGTCAGAACTAAAACTGCTTCAAATCAGCCGAAGTTTTTACACACAGCAACAAACGGCTGAAAGAGTTCGCTGGTCGTTTCTTGTGACGGTTTAGAAAACAAACGTAAAAATAAACGAGACATTTAGAACAAAGTCCTACTAGAAGGTTTGAAGGACTTCTCTGCAGCTTCCTCCTGAGACGCTGCATAAATCTCTTCTCTAAAGACCAACACGAGCTCGGGACTTTTATTTTGTAACAATCTAAGCTGACAAAATGGCCGACGTGTCTCTGTAGAAACCATGGAAGAGGAGGAAAACGAGCAGAGATCATTAAAGGTTAAAGCTGCTGCCTGAGGTCATCGCCTGGACATCAACTACGATATTTATTATTATTATTTATTAACTTTAACAAGCGTTACCGTCGTGTCAGGACTTTAAGCTGCTGCTCTGTTCGCAGGCTTCGAACCCCGCGGCGTACGTAAACAAAGCTGCGGCTACTTTATAGATTTATTTTTGATGGGCTAAGAGCTTCAAGCTGCCAAAAACAATTAGAAGATTTAGCCTCGTCACAAGCGAGCACGCCACTCTGGGGGGGGGTCCTCGTGACTCAATAAGACTACCTGTATAAATAAAGGTAAAAAACCTGAGGAAGTTATCGAGCAGGTCACAGTGGACCAATGAAGCAGGAGGAGCAACTTCAGCTCGGCTGCCAGTGGCTCCTGACGTCTCTTCATATTCCTCCTGCTCCGCGATCAATCACTTCCTGATCAGCTGTTGTATTTTTACTAACGTTGCCGGCACTGTTCAGAAAAAGCATCTACTGTGCGTTACCGTTACGTATTTAATTAAAAGTTTTTTTAATCTTTCTGTGTAAATATCTCATGTTACAACGTGAACACCTGCAGCTTATTAACAAGTGCAGCCTATATATGATTTTTTTTAGTGGGCGTGGCTTATATTCAGGTGCACTCAATACTCCTGAAATTACGGTAATTATTATTTTCTCTTCTAGTTACGTCGTAGCAGACATGTATTTACTTATTTCTACTTGTTTTACTCTGATTACTTCTGTACTCATTCTTATTAAAACAAACTTTTGTTGTATTTTACTTTACAATCAACTGTTTGTTTATTTTTTAATCTTTATATTTCATCATTTTATTACCCGTCTTTGGCGTTTCCTTAGTTCCTCAGGTTAGATCATTTGATCTGTTGACAACTTTTATTATTAAAAAAAATTAAAATACGCTTATTATTTATTGTTGTTTTTAATTTTCTTTGTTGTTGTTTATGTTAATTTATGTTTTGATATGGTGAAAAATTACAAATTACATTAGACTGTTTGGGGTTGCCATGGTAACCACACATCTGCGTCCTGACAGCACTTTCAAAAAGGACTGGTGTACAAATATGCAGACTAAAAAGTAAGCCTCAACGTAACATTCATTGTTTGCAAACTATAAGTTGTTTCAACCCTCCTGCTGCCCTTGGGTCAAAAATAATCGCGAGTCATTTTGACCCAAGGGCAGCAGGAGGGATGAAAAAAATAAAGTGTCACAAGACGATGACTCGTTAAATTAAGAGTCTCCACTTCCTGTTTTCAGGAGAGAACTGAGCGCTCAGGTACAGTGGGAGTCAAAGGGAGTGTGGGGGAGTGTTCTCTGCTTTCTGGGGGGGGGGTGGGGGGGACGTTGAGTCCCACAGCAGAGACTCACTGGGTGGAAGACTAGAACGTTGACTGATCCATCCAAAGACGTGTTGGTGTCGGTTCTGCAGCAGCATTTCAGGGGGGCAGTTTTACTTTTATCTTTGCTTTACGTTTGGAGTTTAAATGAAAATAAACGATGCACTTCGTCCGCAGCCTTGACGCCAAAGTTTGAAACAAACATCGGGTCAGAAAACACTCAGAGTCTGTGTTGGGGTGACTCTCAGCTACTACCACACCAGAACTTAAAGTCTAAATTTCACTGAGTCAAAGACGTTTTTTCTGTTGGCTGAGGTCGATCAGGTGGAATCACGTCGACTCCAAACATTAGATATTTTGCTAACAGACGCACTCAGCCCATGAATGTGTTTCTGAGCGCAGCGCTGAATATTTATCCGTGGGCGGCAGCAGCCGCGTCGAGTCTGACATGAACGAGTCATGAGTTCATCTGAAGAACCGGGCCGTCCACATTCTTCAGCCGGGGGGGGGGGGGGGGGGGGCTGAATGAGAACGACAGCGGCAGAGAAAAGAAAGAATGAGGAAGTAAAAAAGGAGGGAGGCGCTCGTCTGTAAACAGGGAGAGGGAACGACTGATCCCCTCAGAACCCGCGGGTTCCAGAAACGTGTCGGAGCTGAAGAATTCAAATCCAACCCAAAAGAACCGGCTCCGAGACGAGAACCACCCGAGGACTCAGAACCACTTCACACATTTAGAGTTTGAACCCTCAGGAGAAACTGAACTTCTGTCCGCTTGATTAACCTTCAAGGCGTTAACGATCAATAAATTATAATATTGTTTTTATCAGCTGCTGCACTGAAGGTCGGCCGTTAAACACCTAGCTGCATGTGTCTGTTAGCAAAATATCTCATCAACCAGTGGACAGATTCTACAGGATGGGCGTCTACAACTTAGTCAACTCGATAAAGATGGCCGCCAAAGCTAATCGATCTTCTAAACACCTCAAAGGTTTGAACCCAGCTGAGCTGAAGCTGTGGTGGTAGCTGAGAGTCGTCCTGAGTCTGAGCACAGAGGCTCTGTGGAGGCTGCGGTCCAGCCTGAAGCTGGTTCTGGAGGCTGCGGTCCA